AGTCGAGGCGTCTTGTTTTGGCTGGCTGATGGTTTTTCTTTTTATTTTTCTATCTTCTTTTCTTTGATGTCCCTCATACTCTGCGATCTGTTATCATGCCGATCCCACCCGTCCCAAATTTGCTGTGCAATTTGTTCTCCCGAGCTGCAGCCCTTTATTTTTTTCCTTTTTCTTTTCTTTGCTCATTGTCTTCAAAGCCTGGACTAGATAACAGATACAATAGTGATGACCAAGTTACCCACCCCTTTATATATTATGGTTAGATGTTGTGGTTGTTGTTGTGGTTGTGGTTGCTGCTTCGTGAGGTAGTAGTTAATTGATTAGTCTGGTCTATATAGTATCTAGTATTTGCTGGTAATGGATTTATATACCTATTCGATGGGTTGATTGAGTTTACAGTAAGATTACTTAGACTTAGGAGTATGTTATGTGTTTCATGATGTACCTGCATCAGGCTTGACTAGTAACTCAACTCATTCATTATACATACATACATACATTCACATGACTTCATATCATATATCTCATTTACAACTCATCCTTGGCCTCCTCCTTCTCCACAGCTTCCTCTGCCTCCTCCTCGACAACAGTCTCCTCCACCGGCGTCACCTTCCGTCCATACCATCCACCCAACTCTTCACCCGCACCAGCCTTGACCATGCTAGTAATGATCTCAAACGCCACCTGCGCAGCCGCCAAGGCCGTAGTCTCGCCCTTGTTGTCATAACTAGGAGACACCTCGACGATATCGGCGCCAACAATGTTCAGCTTCTCAATGCCGCGCAGGATGCGAATGAACTCGCGGGTCGTCCAGCCACCAGGCTCGGGGGTACCAGTTCCGGGGGCAGTGGCGGGGTCCAGGACATCAATGTCAACGGACAGGTAGACGGGCTGGTCGGAGTCCAGACCGATGCGCTCGATGATGCGGTTCACGATGCCCATGGGACCGAGGTCGTCGATGTCGTCGGCGTGGATGCGCATGAATCCCTGCTCCGGGCCAGGGTTGGTGTAGTCGCTGTCGTCGACGCCGGTCAAACGCGTGCGGAGACCAGCGTGCGCGGAGGTCGAGTTGCAGATCAGTCCCTCGCGACTGGCTTTGTGGAAGAAACTGCCGTGGTTGAAGTGCGCTTGTTCGGAGGTCCAGTAGGCGGAGTAGCGCACGGGGTTCCAGGTGTCCAGGTGCGCGTCGAAGTGTAGCACCGTGATGGGCTTCTGGTAGATTTGGTACAGTGCGCGCAGGGCTGGTAGTGCGACACTGTGGTCGCCTCCCAATGTGACGAGCTTCGATTTGCCCGCTGAGATGCCCTTCGTGCCGTACTTGGAGGACGCAGTGGTCAGGGCCGGGCGAGAGCCCAGTTCCAGGAAGGCTTCATACATCTGACGCTCCGCAACGCCATTGTCAAATGGGGTGATCGGGATGTCGCCGCAGTCTTTGACTGTCGCCCATGAGGCGTAGGGGTTGATTCCCGCTCGGGTGTTGTAGCTCGTGCCGGCCATTTGGCGGGCGCTAGCTGCCCGGATGGAGCGCGGACCAAAGCGAGCGCCTGGAGGGGTGTTAGTGAGTTTGGGGGGGGCAGACTGTGAGGTTATTGGGTGTCTTACCTGGTCTGTAGCTGACTGCCGTGTCAAAGGGGGCGCCGATGACGGCGATGTCGTACCGTTCGTCGGGTTCGATCAGGCATTTGACTGGCTTTAGGTGGGCAAAGCTGGCAATGCCGGAGAAGGTGAACTGGAATGGTGTGTGAGTGTGAGTGCGAAATAGGTGGTTTGGGACTGGGATGCCTACCTCCTGGTCCCATTTCCTCAGCAACTCCTCGCGCACATGCTCGGGCACCTCTTCGTGCTCATGGTGAGCGTGGGCAAAGGCTGTACCAGCCAGTGCCAGGCAAGCAGCCCAAGTGAGGGATTTCATGACGGGATTGAGGACCTCACTCGAGAGTATTGGGGGTGTAAGAGAGATAGGGTAGAGAAGAAAGGAGGGGAAATTCGGAGCAGCAACCGGAGAGGACTAAATAGCGGTGGTAGTTGCGTTGACATAAAAAATACATGCCATGAATAGAATAGTAATAATAATGGCCACTGGGGATGATGGGCCTCTATCTCTTATCGATACGGAGATTGACCCTCATTGGCCAGGATGTGGCTGTAAAGGGAAATATTGATGCCTTTATGCCTGGCGTCCCTGACGTCGTGCGGACCTTCCCTTTTTGGTCAACTTCTTCATCGTCTCAATGCGGAAGGAACACCCTTGACCCCCATTTCTTGCCTCGTCCATTGGCTGCGTTGAGCTTCACCACTTCTTCTCTTCCATCTTCTTCCATCCATTCATTCTAGTCTCTCCCGCTTTTCCCCAACATCGGTATAGTGTCGCGGGAGTTTGGACCTGCATTCCGTCTGCAGTCTGCGGAGACCAACCACCCGCAGCGAGACTAGACGTGAAGTACCTCGACCATAGTAATCACGTACCGTGTATCCCCAGAATGCCATGCGTCGTGTTGTCGTGACTGGTCTTGGAGCAGTGACACCTCTAGGAGTAGGTGAGTGATGCCTCCATGCGCAATTAAGCATGTCCCAAACAACCTCGTCATGGCCGTGGTTCTACCATCTTTTTTTTTCGGTCCCCAGCGTCTCCACTTCAACTCTTCCGGAAAGGGAAGGTCTTGCACTACCTCATATTCATGCCCAGGAAGGCAACTGTACACGACCAATGCTCTTGCTATATTTGCTAAGTAATTTTCCGTAGGTTTCCGTCGTACTTGGAAACGTCTCCTGGATGGTCACTGTGGCATCGTCAATGTCAACCATCGCGATGCCAGGTTTGCAGATCTGCCATGTCAGATCGCAGCAGTTGTGCCGCAAGGTGCACGAAAGGATGGATGTTGGACGGCTTCGGAGTGGTTAAGTCGAGATGTAGGCATATAATAGTGCTTGTTAGGATTGTAACTGATGTCCTGCAGGATGAGCGCAAGATGGCTCGGTTCGCTCAGTATGCCATGGCTGCGTCAGAAGAAGCTCTCGAAGACTCGGGCTGGAAGCCTACAGATTTTGAACAACGAGAAGCTACTGTATGTATTGTCGGTGCTTTTCGACATCATTTCAATAACATTTTGGCAGGGAGTCTGCCTTGGGTCAGGCATTGGCAACTTTGATGAGATTTACGACACAGTTGTTGCATATGACAAGGGGGTCAGTACGGCATGTCTATCATCCATTTACCATGCTCACAAGCCATAGGGCTACCGCAAAGTATCACCTTTGTTCGTACCGAAGCTTCTGATCAATCTCGGGGCTGGGCACATCTCCATGAGGTATGGATTCATGGTAAGAGCACTTTCATTACGCCTGGTCTTCCACTGCTAATGATATAGGGTCCAAATCACTCAGCAACAACGGCTTGTACAACTGGGGCTCATTCTATAGGCGATGCTGCCCGCTTCATCGCGTTCGGTGATGCAGATGTGATGTTGGCCGGCGGAGCAGAGTCTTGTATTCATCCGCTAGCAGTCGGAGGTTTTGCTCGAGCCCGCAGTTTGGCTACGAGCTTTAATGATTCGCCTGAAAAGGCATCAAGACCGTTTGACTCGGATCGTGAGGGTTTTGTGGTCGGTGAAGGCGCGGCAATGTTGGTCTTGGAGGTATTTTCCATAACAGACGCTTACCGAAGGAAACTTTCTAATCTGTTGTCAGGAACTTGAACACGCAAAAGCACGAGGGGCCCGAATTTATGCCGAACTGAGAGGCTACGGCTGTTCTGGTGATGCACACCATATGACAGCACCTAAAGAGAACGGCGAAGGTGCATTCCTAGCCATGAGGAAAGCTCTGAAAAACGCTGGACTCCCACCTTCTGCGGTCGACTATGTCAATGCACATGCCACCTCGACCGTGGTCGGAGATGCAGCAGAAAACGCTGCCATCAAATCCTTGCTCCTGGGACCGGGAGGAAAGCAACGGGCGACGGAGGTTAACATTAGTAGCACCAAGGGAGCCGTCGGCCATTTGCTCGGTGGTGCAGGCGCCATTGAAGCCTTGTTCTCGATTCTCGCCGTTAACGAGGTAAGTGACCCTGGTAAACATGACATAACACTGCTAACGCCGAGACCAGAATGTGATGCCACCTACAATCAATCTGGAGCGGTTGGCTGATGGATTTGACTGCAACTATGCCCCGAAACAGGCCCAGGAGCGCACCATTGACGTGGCTTTAACAAACAGTTTTGGATTCGGGGGAACGAACAGTAGTTTGTGCTTCTCGAAGCATGCAGGGTAGGCGGATTGTATATCATATGATATTGGCGGATTTGCATATTGCATTGCATTTGTATCAATAAACATGTACCACAAGGCGGATGTAACTGCCAGTCATATTAAAGTAACACGTTTAACTGGCCAACGTGGACAGTGACAGCCATTTCACATAATCAAGCATGTAAGAGGGCTTTTTCTCACTCAACACCATCATGAAGAATAGTTGTGTTAGTCTCCAAGTAAGCCGACTTGAACCCATCCATCATCCCTCCTTACTCATGATCCACTCACCGCAGCCTCCTTCAACACAACAAAGGAATCAACCGAAACACAGCGACCACAATACCCCAAACAAACCTCACTAAACTCTCATTCATCATTCACAATAACATCTCCAAGCAAAACTATTTCACACCAATAACCCAGACGTTCAAAACCCCCTCCACCCGACCACCACTCAACTAACCACCCACGTGACCTCCCCAAATGCGGAGCGCCCCGGACTGTGAGTGAGAGAGTGAGTGAGAGTGTGCTCAGCGCAAGCCTCGACCAACTAAGATACCGCACCTCCCCCAGCAACGTCACCGTCCCCCTTTTTCCTCACGGTCGGAGCTAGATACATAGCTTTAATTCCAATCCCATCCTATCCTGTTTTTCTATTTCCTTGACAATATCGCTCCTTGAATTCCGACGGTCGAGAAAGAAAGAGCGCGCGCGCGTGTGTGGGTGGTCGGTCGTTTCGTTTCATAATCATGGCTACTGCTACCGGCGGCAGAGGTCCGTTATAGGCACCCCCCTCTCCCCTCCATCCCTCCGGATAATTCCACCACGCAATGATGATTTAGGGGAAATCCACGAAGATACGCGCTGTTATATTTACGAACCATGCTAATACTGGTGTTGTAGCGTCCTCTGCCTCTTCTACCCCGGCGGGGAGTCTGGTCGATGCGTCGGGGTATAAGTATGCCGAGAAGGATACCAAACCTGGGAAGATTAAGTTGAAGAAGTCGGCGGCGAATGCTAAGTCCGGGAAGAAGAAGGGTGATGGTTTGTTTTGTCCCTCTATCCTTCCCCTTGGTCTGGGGATGGGGTTTGGTGGTGGTATGCTGATGGAAGTTGTTGCGAGGTTTATAGTGCCTGAATCCCCCGGTTCCTCGTCGCCTATATTACCTGATATCGATGAAAAGACTATGGCTGCGTTCCCGACGGGGAAGCCCCGCGAAGAAGATCATCTCGAGACGGTCATTTGTAAGACGTGCAAGAGACCGGTGTTGAAGCAGAATGCGGTGGAACATATTCGGGGTTGTATTCGCGCGAAGCAGGAGAAGGCCAGGAAGAAGAAGGAGGCGCGAGATGCGGCGAATCGCGCAAAGGAGAAGGGTGATAAGGATGGTGATGAAGATGTGGGTGCTGGTGAGAAGGGTGAGGGTGGTGAAGATTCGATGAAGGGTCAGAAGAGCGCGAAGAAGTCCGCTGTCAAGGGGATGGCGGAGGATGGGACGAAAAAGGGGAAGAAGCGCAAGACGGAGGCCGGGGAGGATGATAAGGATAAGGAGCCGAAGAAGAAGAAAAAGAAGGAGGAGCCCAAACCGAAGGTGCCTAAACCGAAGGGCCCTGTTGATGTTGAGAAGCAGTGTGGTGTTACTTTGCCGAATGGTGCGCAGTGCGCTAGGTCGTTGACTTGTAAGAGTCACTCGATGGGCGCGAAGAGAGCTGTTCCGGGGCGTTCGTTGCCGTATGATATGCTGTTGCAGGCGTATCAGAAGAAGAACCAGGCGAGGCAGCAGAGTAAGTGGTTTTGTGGCTTATGGTGCCCGAGTCTGGGCTTGGTGGGATAATGCTAATGCTGGTTTCTACAGAGGCTGCTATCGATGCGAACGCTCCGCTACAAGATGATTTGGATAACAATGGGCCTGTCGACTCGGACGAAGAGAAAGATACTGTCATGGCAGCCATTTCTCGCTCTCACCCATACCCGATGGTGACGCATACGTTGATCTCGACGAAGAAGAAGTACCAATATGTGCGGATCAAGGAGATGCTGTCTCATGCATTGGGTGGTTCACGCGGTGGTGGGCTCTTCTCGACAGGAGATACTCTCTCCTCTCCGTTTCCGGATGGCGGCAGCCTGTTCACCCCTGTAGAGGAGGTGTCAGTGCCCGAGCCTATGGCCGTGGATGAGCCGGAGCCGGCAGAGACGCAGGAAAATGCGACAGATGCTGGTGCGAAGACACCTGCACCTGAAGCCAAGAAGGTGCCTGTGGCGGCTATCTCGTAGAGCTCTCGCTGGGTAACGAGTGACGAAAGGCTCCCAGGATTGGATATACATATAGCCCGCTTACGGGCAGGGAGTTTGGGCGATGCTTGATGGCGTTCTGGAACGGTTTTGGGTCTTTGGGTTTGCTATTTGATAAGATACCCCGCGCTCAGTCTTGCTGGCGTGCATTATTGTAAATTAAATCGGTGCTTCTTTGGCCGTATTGATAGAATGCAATTCATTCTGCATGCTAAGCCTTTTTTCCATGGCTGTTGGGTAATACATCAATGCGTAGTCTACGGCATTTACTGTGCTTGCATGAAGTCAATAAAAACGCCATTCTCCACCGTAGTATCGCATTGTCAGGCGACAAGAACGGCAACGTGATGCCTCAGGCCACCGAGTATCTCCGAACCTCCGCAGATGGGAGTCAAAGCTACCTTCGTTGCCTCAATGCGCCTGCTCTCACTTTCCCAACGAACGCCAACTCACCACCACCACGCCCTTATATAATTCTCCTTCTACCCACCTACTGCTGAGCACCTTTTGCGCCTTGCGCCTGCGGGCGAGAAGCTCTACCACCAGCGTGACCACCATTTCTCCAGACCATTATTCCTCATAACCTCACCCACTCCTCCCCTCCTCCCATACAGAAATATTCAGACCGACCACAATGAGCAACTCAGTCCCCGATCTCGATGCCGTCGGCATCAAAGCAGACCCCGAACTCGCCGACCAATTCCGTCGCGAAGTTGCCACCCTCCTCGGCCGCAATAATCTCAACTTCCCCGGCGCGCAACCCGTCAGTTTCTCGACACGGCATCTGACCGAGCTCCAACGAGAAGATTACTACGTGTGCGAGAAGACGGACGGAATTCGATGTTTGATGTACTTTGCGCGGGGCGAACCGGATTCCGACACTCCTGAAATCCACTACTTGATTGATCGCAAAAACGACTACCGCTACGTCCCGGGCTTGCACTTCCCTTTACCGGACGATGACACGTTTCAGCGCTTCCATGTCGATACGCTGGTCGACGGCGAGCTGGTCAATGATACCTACGAGGATGGCACGCAGCAGCTCAAGTACCTTGTATTTGACTGCTTGGTGCTCGATGGGCAGAGTTTGATGCATCGGACGCTGGATAAACGGCTCGCGTACTTCAAGGAGAAGGTGCTCAAGCCGTATAATGCGCTGTATGATCGGTTTCCCGAGGAGAAGCAGCATCGGATCTTTGCCGTGGAGGATAAATCGACGCAGTTTAGTTACGGCATTGAGATGATGTTTCGGGATATTATCCCCAAGGTGAAGAAGATTCATGGCAATGATGGCTTGATTTTTACTTGTCGGAGTACTCCCTATCGCATCGGTACGGATGAGCATATCCTTAAATGGAAGCCGCCCAGTGAGAATACTATCGATTTTCGAATGCGCTTGGAGTTTCCCCTGCTGGAACCGGATTCGGATGATGAGGCTGAGGGTGTTACGGAGCCGTATTACGATTATGATGCCTTGCCTATCTTTCATCTGTTTGTTATGCTCAATTCGAATGAGTACCGCCCCTTCGGGGAGATGTATGTCTCGCCGGAGGAGTGGGAGAATATGAAGGCGCTGCAGCAGCCGTTGGATGATGCGATTGTGGAGTGCGCTCAGGATGAGCAGGGGCGTTGGCGGTTCCATCGCATTCGGGATGATAAGGCGGATGCGAATCATATCTCGACGGTGGAGAAGGTGCTAGAAAGTATCCAGGACCGGGTGACGGAGGAGGATCTGATTCGGGTGGCTCCTGCGATCAAGACGGCGTGGAAGAAGCGACAGGCGCAGATGTCGGAGCGGGGAAGACCCGGCAGTACGGCGCAGGTTAATGGGAGTAATGGGGTGAAGCGGAAGTTTGAGGAGTAGTTTTGAGTCCCTTGAAAAGTCATGCTACTAAGGGGTGATGCTTTGACTGATTCGGTTTGCGAGGCGTTTGGCGTTGGTTGGTTGGTGATGGGGATGTCTTCTCATCTCATCTGCTGGGGGATGATGATTGTAACTGTGTATAGATAATGCGAGATGGGCAAGAGAGGATTATGGCTAAAACGGGCTGGGCGGGTTTTGTATAATGCAATGCAATCTTTACTTTAGATGATTTGTTTGACTACGAAAAGTACGATGTGTAGAGCTATCTCCAAAGGGATATCAAAATAGCCCAAGCTGCAACTAATACCCTCCGCCCACTATCATCATAGTAGAATTCTGCACTATCAGACGAAAAAGATCTTAAACTCTACCACATAAGTACTAGTAGTAGTAAACTACGGAGTACTACTTAAGGGGTATCTGAAGAATTCCACCAAGTCACTACACCAAGCCACTGCAACCTGGCGCAGTTGACTGACATCCACATAACTTCCACCTGAGTACCCAGTATGTATGGAATATACTAGTAAGAACTATACATAGCTGCTGCTGCCCCATTTCCCCCCAAAGGAACCATGCAGGGCTACTTCAGTTACCCCATACTTCACTACGTATCCCGCCAACAAACAAAACGCACAGAGCCTCGCAAGCCCGGATTGGAATGTGGAGAAGAAAAACATACTACGTACAGTACATGTACGTAGCGTAGCTGTTAGCCGATCATGCAACTCCCATGAACTAGATCGTACTTAATTATTTTTAGTGTGGGCATAAGTAGGGGTGGGAAATGGTTCATCCATTCATTCATTCATTTATTCGTTCGTTCGTTCGTTCGTTCGTCATTCGGAGTTACTTGACCAGTGGGTTGGGTCGAGCTTATTCGTGAATATGTAGTAAGTATACATGTAACATGATGCTTTGAGATTCGAAATATATGTAGGTATCTCGTATAATTTTTACTTTACTTGCTTTCTTTCTTGGGGATTATTGTTTGTGTTACACGAAGAGAGTTCGGGGTACGAGGGATGAAGGGACGGATGGGGTAAATTGTGGAGAGTTGCCATATCTGTACGTAAGTAAGTAACTATAGTTGGGCTGATAGTTACTATGTTATTGAGTAGGAGGTAAGTTATTTGGTGATTACGTTGCAATGGCTGGCTGACTGACTAGCTGGCTGGTTGGAAATGAATCCAGGGGGAGGTGTGGGTGAAGCTGCTGTGGGAGTAGTAGTAAAACAAAGCAGGGGCTGGCTGCTTGCTGGCTAGCAAGTACGTACGTAGCAGGGCTTTTACTGAAATGAGTTGGACGGGGTTTGTGGAGTGTGTGTTCTTTTTTGCCACGGAGTGAAACGGCAATGATGGCAGCAATCCTTTGGGGTTGATGAATGGATCGAAGGATTGGTGGGTTAATCTAAAGAGGTAAAAAGTAGTAGTAGCAGTGCTTCGTACTTTCTGTCAGGACTTGTTTAGTGCTATTAGTTGGTGTGTTTCTAGAAGGTGAGGTGTCCAGGGAATGGGGCGAGAGGAGAGGAGAGATCACATCATGGATCATGAAGGATTGCGTGGTCTGATCCATTCATTTACTCCATACTACGGAGTACTACTGTACAGTAATCGCCACTGTAGCGGTACTAACTGGATTATGGGATATTCTGCACGATGGAGTATTCCCGGGCTTCTAGTCTATTTAGTATTTAGTATTACTCGCTGCCTTTCCCGGAACTCAGGCTGAATTGCCCCGAAGTCGATCACTAGAAATAAAAAAAGGTATGGGAAAAGAACGGAGTAGATACTTAGTAGTATCTAGTGAAATATGGAGAAACGCATAACTAGAAACATTTTTTCAAGAACCACTGGGAAGTAACTCCAGCCATTGAACTACTAGTCAGTTCCTTTTTGACCCTTGTTTTCTCCACATCTGCACACGTAACAGTAAACTAGTCTAGTCTGCATCTCTGCTTTTTTTCCCCAAAATCCACCCCCAACTCCCCTTCCCCATCCTTTTTTGTCTTGTCTTGTCTTGTCTTGTTCTGTTCTGTTCTTTCTCCGGGCTGATCTCTTTTCCCCAGCCAAAGTCAAATCCCCCATTCATTTCAATCCCCGGGACAGTTTCCGTCTTTCCGTCCTTCCGTCCAAGCATGCCCCATGCCCACTCAGTCCTACCATACCATCCCGCCCGCCTTGCCCAGACGTAGCAAAACAACTGGGGTAGTACTTAGTAGTTATGTGGTGGGTTCTGGCCTGGACCCGACTTTCTGGGTCCATCTGCCGCCGCCTGGCTCCGGGGGTTGTTGTTGTTCAAGGGTGAGGCGGTTGTTCCTTTTTTTTTTTTCTTTTTGGTTTCGGTTTCGCCTCGCAACGGGAAGGGATGGATGTATCCTTCCATCCAATCCTTAGGTTCCTTTCTCGTTCTCCTTTATTCGGTAGTACGTAGCAAGCTATTTATTGCTTAGTAGGGTTGTAGGTTAGGTGTACCTGAGTCGTGGTGGTAGTACTAGAAGGAAAAAAGGTATTTTAGGCGGGTATTTCTTCTTGCTCTGTCTGCTTTTCTCTTCCCATTCTTTTTCTCTTCAAACGTTCTTCGTCCTCTCTTGGAGTACTACTCGGGTCCTGGTACTTGATGGTTATTTGGTTCCCATACATCTTCACTCTGTTCCATACATACAAGTGAGGCACTTTACCATCCACCACCATCCACCACTATAGTCAGCAACCAACAACCAAACTATAGCCTATACAGACAATAGTAAAGAAAAGAGAAGAGGTAAGCCAATTATTCCCTCTTTCTTTTCTTTTTCTCTGCCCTTGCACAACACACCATCATCACCACTCAATCAAACACGGACATAATCCTCGGCTAAGAGGAGGAGGATTGGGATTTGAGGACCCTCATGAGAGAATAAACTGGATCCATTCATCCACCCACCCATCCACCCAGTCATCTACTACTTTTTTTTTATTTTACCTCGGCGGATTTCGGAGCAAAGCATGATATTTTTACTCCGGAGGATCTATATCGGCATACATCCCATCCATTCATCACATATGATATTTCTTTTCTTTTCTTCTTTGCTTCTTCCCACCCGGTTATATATATGTTCTACATATGCACATGCAGG